TCGCTGACATGCACAGGTAAGTTAGTATCACTTAAAATATCTCTAGAGTTAATGAGCAACACTGAGCCCTTCAGAAAACCTTGTTTCCCACATATACCATATACTGCACACACTACATGGGCAATGCTTGTTTTTTAATGCAAGTAAAAACATTGTCATTCTTTGCTCATGCAGCACTGAAATCTCTCTGAAGCAGCGCTTAGAGTATATGGCCCGAGCCATTCTCTCTGCTAAGAGTTCCTCCTGCATCTCGGCTCAGGCCTCAGACGGAGAATTCCTTCATGAGCTGGAGGAAAAGATGGAGGTATGTGTGTAGTGATCGTCTCGATGAAGAGAATCAAACCATCCATGAAGTTTACAACTGTGACTATTTTTCCTTTTCTGGTCCCGCTTTCCTAGCTGGTGCGGATCCAAGTACAGATTCAGGAGACCCTGATCAGACAGTACTCCCATCATCCCTCAGTGAAAAATGCCATCTCTCAGTTAGACTCAGAGCTCATGGATATCACAAAGGTATGTTGCAGAATCAGGACAACAATGTTTAGGATGTATGGGATGATGGACTTTTTCAGTGAATGGGAAATGTTTGTAATCGTGTACTTTTCTCTTGTGCAGCTCTATGGAGAATTTGCTGACCATTTTAAGTTGTCTGAGTGCAAGCTGGCCATCATTCACTGCGCAGGACATTCTGACCCAATCCTGGTGCACTCCCTGTGGCAGGAGATCATAGAGAAAGGCAAGTGTAAAGGCAAATCCTTACAAACATTCAACCTGGGCCCCTTCTAGGCTGTAATGTGTATTAAACATCAGCTCTAAGTGTTTTGTGTTTTATTTTAGAACTTGGAGATACTGTAGCCATGAGTCCAGCAGACAGGATGAGGTCTCTCAGTTTGAAACTGGTGTCACTGGGAAAGATCTATGCTGGAACACCAAGATATTTCCCCTTGGGTTAGTATTCATGCCTGCAATTATGTTTTGTTGTCCTCTTGTTGGAATGTTTCAGCTCACCATTTACCATTTTCTTATCAGTAAGATAATTAAACTTCCCTTTTGTATCGTGTCAGCATGTCCCTGTGGTACAGGTCTGTAGGGTCATGTGTGTACGCCAGGTGGCTGTTTAATTACCCTGTCATTACAATGGGCCTGCTTAAACCTGTCTTCATTGCTGAGACAATGATTGATTTTATACACATCCTTGGTACTTGCATGTATATACAGAAGCAGTTATGTCATATGTAAAATGTATTTTTCAGTAATATACAAATGCTGAGAATGCAGTTCTAAGTGTTGATTTGTCCTGTGATTGCAGAGTTTCTTGTGAAGTTTTTGGAGCAAAAGGTGTGTCATCTCAACTGGGACGTGGGATTTGTCACCTCCACCATGCAGGAGATTGGAGTACAGCTGCCGCGTCTTCTAGAGGTCTACGACCAACTTTTTAAAACCCGGGTACATGCTCCAGATGAAATATGTTCTAATAGATCACTTTTGGACTTTTGTTAAAGTTGTGATGACCTATTCTGTTCTTGTGATGAGACCTGAACAGTCTCTTACTTAAATGTCACAAATTAAGCTCATTTTTTTGGTTTATATTGTTATATAAAGGTTCTTCTAGAAAAATCTTCACACCCTTGTACATTCATAAAGGTCGTTAGTTTCCTCTGAGCGCCAGTAGCGCCAGACCCCCTTTTCCACTCTGCGGGAACACGGTCTCCTGGCCCCCCTCCCTAACCGCCCAGTCTGCTCTGATTGGTGTGCCATGTTGCTGTTCATCTGCTGTTCTAGCAAAAACATCATGATGGCGAATGGTGGCACCAAAAACAGATCAGAGTGGGATGATGATCTGTGAATTGAACTGGTGCGTCATTTCGTATGAGCTCATAAAGGGAGACTAATCCGAACACTGGGTTTGAGTAGGGGTTTTTACAAATGCGGCAAAAGCAAATCAGGCGGGGGACTGCTCTTTTTTCATGTATTGTGTGTCTGTAGACACAGCGGAGACCCATGTGAATGTCAGAAAATGCTCTTGGTGAATTTTCTGCAACGTGTCCTGTAATCCTATAACCTGCCATGTTGCCTTTCATCTGTAGGATCCCTGCTGGCAGCGCCTGAGGAAACCTCTCCACTTGGTGGAGTGTATCCATGTGCTTCTCTCAGGATATGTTGATGATCCCAGCAGAGTACCAACCTATGACAGGTAATCACTATCTGAGCAGCTGTTTAGCTGCTGGCCTGTAGTTGGTGCTGCGTTGTTGGCTTTGTACAAGGATGTTGGCATGAGCCTAAGGTCCCCGGTTAGAATGCCTGTGACAACTAATACTGTATCATACAAAAGTGTCTATGAGCAAGAACCTCCTCTCTTGCTCAGGTTTTTAAGCTGCTCTAGGTAAAATCCTAAACTGTAATTTTGAACAGGTGTTGGATAAAACCTTCCAGGGGCTGCACAGCAGGGGAAATGCTTTAACAGGCATCGTTAGCTTGAGAAACACAGAACATTTTGAATAGCAGTGTCAAAGGCAGAGGCTGCATAGTAGATCCCCGAATGTCTTCTTGAACAAGTGGCCCGATGATAAACATTACTTACAATTCAGTGTATTTTGACTAGATACAACTTTATGTAAAATCCATGTAATTAGAAAAAATAAGACTTGCACCTGGAGACTGTAATCTGCAGTGTGAGCAGCAAAACTATCACAGTTGAAATACAGCTCTCATCTTCACCAGGCTAAGATATGTATTTCTGCAGCAAAAGGGACTTTTGCTGTTTCTAGGCAACAGATCATGTCCGTCAGTCGCTTGCGTGCAACAAACAACAGCTACATTCTGGCAAACAAATATAAAACCTTACCTTAACCACTGATTGGCCACTAATGTTTGGCCAAGCTTGATGTTTAATTCGTATGGTGCCAGTACCAGTTTCCCTTTTTACCAGCAAAGAATCACTGTCTGGGGAAACAAAGAGCAAGAGGGGGGTTTGTACTGAAAATACAAACTTTGGAACCTGTCTGCTTGATTTGAGCAACCCAGACTTCATATTAGCTTCAGCTGGACTTGGATTTTGTCCCTGGTCACTAACATTGGAATTGATCTCTTCAGGGCCAGTACAGAAGGAACTAAACAAATACACCTTCCTATGGGTTGTTTTTGATTTGTTTTCCCTCCGTTTCAGGCGCCGGTTCACTAATGTGTGTCTTGACAACATCTGTGGATACCTTGTGGAGCTGCAATCGCTGAGTCCAAACTCAGCCCTACAACAAACCATCAGCAACTTCAAGTCACTGCAGGCGAAACTGGACAAACTCCACTAACATTGCTAATAAAATTGTTCATGAGGACTAGTGACAAGGGACCTCTGGATCTCGCACTGCTGGCCTTAATTTATTCAGCTGATTTGAAGTGTGAGTACATCATTGGCAAACACGTGATGATGTTTGTCTTCCAGTCTGTCTGTGGTTTGTGTGATGCTTAGGGATAGTGTGGGCAGATGAGTCTTCTGGTAATGGCAAGAGATCAAAAAGGCACATTTTATAACTTATTTAATGCATTTTGTTAAAATCGAAACATACTAAAGTTCAGTTTTGCAAAGCATGACACTGTTGGTTATTTGCTTTGTGTGCAAATATCTGTCAGATATCTAAAAATGCAAGATATTTGAGTTGGGTTATATTTATAAAAACACAAAATCAATTTTGCAGACTAGTTTTCATGTACTGAAATTGTACTTGATTATTAATTTGAGATTTTTTTTCAGATGAATACACTTGGTAAATAAACCTGACTAAAGCCTTTCTATTACAGAAAATAATTTGGATTGTTCTACTTTTGCCTCCAAACAAACAGTCCAGTGTTGGATATTGTAATTATGTAGATGACTTGGCCACGATGCTGTCTCTGCTGCTAAAGGTCACTCACACAAACATTATTTTCATGTGTATTATTACAGTGAGCATTTTTTCTGCTTGGCTACTTGGATACGTTTAACAGTGCTGTTGAGTATGAGAACTTTTGTAAATGGGTTTTTTTAACATAGTGCAGTTCATGGTTCTACACTGAAAACTTTGGCCTGAGTGGAAAAAATATAAAACGTTTTTATAAAGACATAAAATTTGTCATTGCTTTTGTGTACAAGGATGTTTTCAAAACACTAAAACTACTTGTCATCTGTGAACAATCGAATTCATGTTTAGGCACAATGTTGTGTTGAATATTTTAAAAATTACAGCAGAAAGCAGAGTGAAATTGCAGAGTGTTGATAATGTGACACTGCACGGGGAGTGCAGTAATTGATTTAATGTCGTCACTATTTGTTTATGTAATTAAATTAAAAACAACACTCAGGGTTTCTTACACATCACCAACGGGGCTCTAATTGCCAAAGGCTTTTTTTTCTCCAATTAGCTGTGCGCTCTAGTACACAATTATGTATAATTTTTAGCCTTGTGGAAAATAAAATTTGATTCTGTGTTGAATTCTCTCAATTTTGCATCGTCATTTACTTTATACAAGTGGCAATCATTATTTTACATAGGCATTTTCAAAATAAAGTTTCACTCGAGTTGAAATACAAGAAAACAGCAAAAAAATTAAATATCTAAACAACAATGCCTTCTGCTAATCTTAAGACTATTTAAATATCATGCTGCCGTTTGCAAATGTTTTTATTATCGATAAATTGTCTGCTTTATACAATGTCAGCCAGTAGTGGAAAATGTCCTGAAGGTGACGTCTTAAAATGAATTTTCTGCTGATTGACTAGTTTATGAATCAACTATCCATTTCGCCTCTAAAGCTGTGCTCAAGAAAACTCTGGAACTGTAATCGATAAAGACAGTAGCTCATACTTTGTGTTCATCTCTTCAGGTTCTTGTTCAAGCAGAGGGTGCTTCTATTTATCAAAGGCCCAATTTGGACAGATTTCTGAATGAATATGAGGGATACTACTCGAATATTAGATAATCAGACACAAGGTCCAAGAGTAAAAACCAGATGTAATGGGTACATTTCTACCCTTTACATGAACAAGAAAGCTTTTTCACTCCATGCAGGAATATGTAAGGAATGATGCAGATGTATGAGGCTGCAATATAGCTGGCCACCTCCACCATTACTGATGAGATGTGGATGTTGCTGGTAATGCGCAGCAGCAGATGAGTCAGCCAGCAGACCAGGAACACGCTGGCCACAGCCACCACACTCTTCGCTGCCCTCACCTGGTTGCTCGAGCCTGGACTGGCTCTAGCTGGCGTCTGTCCAAGCCTTGGAAGATTTGTTGGACCTCCAGCACCACTTTCAGTTTTTGTTGCCCTTTTCATGGGAGTGCTGAGCGAGCTGTGACCTGACGGGTCCTGTCTGTTTGGACAGGAAGAAGCAGGCACGCCTGTATAAATGTGAGTCACGGAGGCAGAATCTTGGAGATCTTTCATGGTTCCTGGCCCAGAAGTTGTCTTATTATTTCTGTTCTCACTACTATTGTTTTCATCTTTTCCCGTCTCCTTGGTGGTGGTATGAGCCCGTATGCGTCGCTGATTTTGAAGCAGAGTGATGACAATCTGGACACTGGCAAATACAATCCCAGCAACAGGGAGAGCATTAGCTAGGGTTAAATAAAAGATCTCATAGGTGTGCCTGTCAAAAGTAGTAGGGAAGACGACTTCACAGTTTTCTTGGCTTTCGTTTGTTCCCACGACTGTGACAAAGAAAAAACATGGGATGCTGAAGACCAAAGCCAACATCCAGCTCCCAGCCAGCAGACAACTGACCAGGCGCAGGCTGTCGAGCTGCACCGATGCTCCTCCACGTTTCAGGGAGCCCACTAGCTTCTGGTGCCAGAAAACGCATATGAAAAAGGTTGTGTAGATGCTGCTGGTTTCAGAGAAGTTGGCACAAAAACTAAAGATGCTGCAGTAGATTTTCCCCAGGAACCATCGTCCAGCAAAATCTGCCATGGTGTCAGGCAGGTCTACCAGGTAGCCGCTGATAAGGTTGGAGACAGCCAGGTTGATGAAAAGTACCTCGTTGGTGCGGATGCCTGACTTCTGACAGGCCAAGGAGCGTAGAGCAAGCCAGCTGTTTCCCATGATCCCTGCCAGACATATCAGTCCTCTGATGCTGGATTCAATCAACAGTTCTACAGGCATCATTTCACAGGATCAGGGGATACTCAGAAGAAGGAAATGATTATGGTCTCAGTTTCCCCGGTGTATAATGTGGGATGCTCTGGTCTTTTGACATTTATAGAGGAGGGTAAGAAGCCCAACCCAATTACATTCAGCATCTTATCATGTTCTCTCATGGGGCTTTCATCATGTAGTCCCTCTAAGATGGAGGATACTGTACAAACAGAATAGAAAGAATAAAGAACCACAGTGCAAGAGCTGAGTGTTCACTGAATAAATGGAGCTACTGAAGTCCCTGGAGAGCATCGGTTAGTCCTCTGATCAATTACAAGCTAAATGTTGCTCTGGGTATTTAAAGCAAACAGACTCATTGATCCTTTTGGTGACTTAAAGGGGAATGTCACGCATTATTTCACTATTGTAAAGATTTCTGTTTGAGCTTCTGCACAAGAATGACTTTCACTTCAACTCTCCTTCAGTTGTGAGAAATGAACATCTTACAGCTGCACAAAGTGAATGGCCTCTTAATTCTCAATGCAGCAGTGCTTGGTTTTACACCCAGAGGAAATACATTCTGTAATTTTCTCAGCTTTTTATCTTAAGGGGTTCTCAGACTCTATCTCACATGTCTGTATGCAGTTTCTTAAAGTATTCCCTCTTTAAGTGTAAGAGGTTAGTGTCTAATGGTTCTGTCTAACTCTCGGCTCTACTTTAATTAAGCATCATTAAGGCTAATGGGTTTCTCACTTTAGAAAAAGACATCCAATCTGCAATAGCTTGGCAAACCTCTTCCAAATGGTAAGTGGTCTAATAATCCATTAAACTTCCCGATGAATTAAAAGCTTGATAAAAGGACAAAATGAGGGAGGAATGGAGGAGGACTTTTAAGTTGTTAGAGTGCCTCAAACGGAAAAAGCTTTGCATTTTTACTTGAAAAATCAAGCCTGGTTATTAAATAAAAAGAACAAACTAAGCTGACCATCAGAACACAGCAGGGGTTGTCAGTCGGCGTAGTAGAGCCTGGCGTCACTCACGAGTAAAAGCTCCACCTTTGGAATAAACCCGAGGCGGCATCTGTGCGCTGCTGCCTGCAGGGACATCCAGGACGCGCTGCGGTGCGCTGCGGTGCGCTGCGGACTTCTTTTTTCTTTATTCTTTTTCCCTTGACTATGATTTATTTGATTTCCTGCTCTGTGACTGATGAAGAGCTCCGTCCTAGGCTAAAACAAACAAGCACTCTCCCGGTGTGTGTTTGCTGTCGCTCTCGTTAGTATGACACACTGGTGAGTGTGGAGAGGACAGGATGCCCGCCAGCAGCGCCGACTCGCTGAAGCCCAGCGCCTTCATCCCGGTGTGCACCGCTGCCTCCCTCCTGGTCGGCTCTACCTCCCTGTTCTTCGTCTTCACGTAAGTGCAATAAAAAGTTGATGAAATGCACTGCTGGTTTGCTCCAAGGAGAATCCATCCATTTCATCCATCACTCTTTCATCGTGATGGATTAGGTCGGCTACTCTTCAAACATGTCTGTTTTTTGCACGTGAAACTAAATTTCGAGATTAAAAGTGTTAATGAATTCCTTAAACATTTACACATTCACCACTATTTTGTCATTAATTCGTTTTTGACTAAACTGTATTCTCACTTTAAATGTTTAGTTTGTCTCCTAAAGTTGTCCAACCTTGTTAAACTGTCCAGAAAGAGCACAGTTTCTTCTTCACTGGCTTGTTTCTGTAGGCAGATACTCCAGAGGTGGCTAACATCTGACCTGGTTGGCTGGACGCCTGCCTAGTGCATTCTGAGGACTCAGAATAAGCACAGTTTACAGGATAAGACACCCACAACCAGTATCAGTGTGTCCTTCTGACCCATATGTGTTATAAATTTAGCTGGAGGAAACCAAATACACATTCTGGAAAAACAAGTAATCTGGTTTGTGTCAAGATCTGTCAGTCCAAAGTATTAATACACAGTTTGTTATACACAATTTGTTGAAGATTTTACTGTAGCCTGTTTATTTTGACCTATTTGTTATCAATGTCGGATATTAAAATGACACTTTCAACATGAAGGGACCTTAGATATTCACGAGTGACTTACTGAACGAAGGCTCCCTCCTCATCAGATTTACTGATCTCTGTAACCATATCCGTCCTAGTTTTTCCTGTGTTCTCCAGAAGTGCATCGTTTCCACTGGAATCTGACACCAGATTGGGAATGTGGGAGAATGACCCATGATGTTTTGTGATCCCCCATCTGGGGAAATGGAGTCTGGAATCTCTGAGTTTACCCCGAGCAGAGATTTACCAACCTCATTGGACTTACTTTCATTATGAAATGCACATCGTTTATAGTTTTAGTTGGCAGTCTTTTGTTTGTAAAATATGATTAGAATATATAATCTGGCAATGTATCAGCATATCCACAAATCTAGTGATTCTGATACTACATGTTTTTATAAAAATGGTAAATTCATGACACAACCTGACAGCTGTCTAATTGGAACTTGAGTCATGAAACCTTTGGGACTTGTAAGCCAGAAACAGTTTGGAGACCCTGATAAAGTCTGTTTGTACTCTGTAAAAAAAAAAAAAAAAAATCAATGCCCTGCTGGCATGATAGATTGAAAAGGAACCACTTTACTGGGACTGGAATGCTGAACTAGCAAAACCAGGACACTGCAAATGATGAACAAATGAGTGATGGATCTGCATCTTATGGGACGAGGGTTGCATTTGAGCTGAAGTGACCATATAGCCTGAAAATGTGTTTTAATTAACACAGCCCCTTGGAGCAGAGCTTTAAATTTTCTGGCCTCATGGCTTCAAGTGCGCATGGACTTCTGTTTATTGATCTCTAAATAAAATAGTTGAAAACCTCACTGTGCAACTGGCCAGCAGTATAATCTTATTATAAACTCTGCAGGTTATCTTGTCTTGCATTTATTTTAAATTCCTAATTTTAAATACCTAACTTAAGATGTCACAGCCTGCATCTTCACAGTATGCTCATGCACACTTACATACATCAACTCATAATGCAATACCAGTGTTTCTGCCTTTGGGCCTCCATGTGTGCATTGATAGTGCAAGCGTGCGCACTTCCATTTCAGTTTCTACTGCTGGTTCGGAAGAGTCAAAGAATGACCTTTAGAACTGTAGAGGCACTTTTGTTTTGTTTAGCCTGAGAAAACACATCTGTTACCAGTTTCCTGCTTTTGTTCCTCTCACTGTGAACTTTTGTTTGGGCAAGTGTTTAAGGTTTGTTAAACTCAGGCAGGTCACCTACGCCCAACAAATACAACAAACATCAGGAAGACCAAGAAAAATATCTCTTGATAATTAAGTCTCCCAGTAATACAGAAACTCTACTAAGTAAACAGAATACTAAAACATACTGCAACTAGAAAAGGCTACATTTCTGACAGAAGACTGCTTGATTATGCTGAAAATTGCTTGTTGAAACACTGTAAACAGTTTAAAATGTCATAAAATGCTAATATTCTTTGTGCATAACACTAATGAAATTGGAGCAGAAGCTAACTGTGTTTAGTATACTGAAACATATTAAAATAATACTGAGGTTAATATTTTAAGTGCACATAATTTGCATATTTATGCTCATTCTCTGCACTGATTTAAAGCCTGAATGGCTTGGCTTGCATTCATTAGAAGAAAAAGCCTACTGGAATTGATCATTTTTTTAGGAGTTTCTCACAGCTACACTCCTAAAGTGCCTTCATCATTGTTGGGTGGTGTACAGTGAGAAGAGGCAAAATGAACGGGGGATGACACACGATCATGTGAGAGAGATTGCACCTACAGTACATCACTGTGAACACATCTGGACAGTGCAGTCTGGGATTTGTTCTCTGCTAGTGTTTTACCTTCTGATGTTTGACTAGAAATGTGACAGATTACATGGCAGTGATTTCGTTTATGTAACGGTGACAGTATTTCACTAGAAGAGCCCTGGCAGTAGCAGCAGTAGTGAACTTGCTGCTTGACTGAGTGTGTGGCGTCTGCTGTGCCACTGACCCACTACAGGGATGAGGGCAGTGTGCAGATTGCAGAGCAGCTTACTGTTCTGTGTGATTTAATATAGCTCTGCCCAGGCTGTTTCATTAGGTGGGACTTGTCTTGCCATGCTACAGTGTAATGAACTGTCTGTGCCTGCAGTCCAGATGGTCTCCGACCAGTGATGGAGGCTCACCATCTATCTTTTTATCCAAAGATAAAAGTCAGATCAATAATATTACAGTAAACTAAAATTAATGTTGAAACTTTACAGAGGTGTTAGTCCAGTTTTGTGGGGTTCACTTCACTTAAACAACTTTTGTAATAGAGTTTGTTATAACTATTCATCTTGAATACACATCTTAACATAACTGATTGGCGGTGACTGTTCAAACGAGTATATTTAGTAGGAGAAACTTCCTGAATAGCACTCTTATGGAGGGATGTTATAAGAGGGAGTCATTTGTATTTATGTATAGACTACCAGTAGTGAACGAATTGGATTGATCTCATAGTACTGTATACAGTAGTGTAGCGTGCAGAGTATATACAGGGAGCCTCGAGTGCATGCTCTGTGTCTTTAACATCTAATGAGAGAATCCAGAATGGCCTGGACTGGCAGAAAAGGTTGTTAAGCCGGAATTCATAATCCAGAGATTACTGGGTTTACAGCTGATGTGGTATCAGCAGGCGTTTTGGGGGGAAGCACCTCCCCCACAGCCTAAAACCAGCTGCAGGGTTTGGGGATTGGAGCCGCACTGGTACAGTGGTGTGAAAAAGTGTTTGCCCCCTTACTGATTTCTTATCTTTTTGCATGTTTGTCACACTGTAATGTTTCAGATCGTCAAACAAATTTATAGAGGAAATTTATATGTAGGGTGATGACTTTTGATGTTGCTAGTGTTTTTACTTTTTTTTTTTTTTAATCACTGTTTATTTTCAATTAGAGTCATATCTGAAAAAAAAATGTCACCAGCTTTTCATTTCTTTCTGGTTCTGACACTGTTTCAATTTAACAGTACTAGAATAATTATATTATTTATCTCTGCCTATACTGATGCTGTACCAAAAGTTGTATCATGATTATCAAATAGATAATTCTCATACAATATATGTACATTTAACATGTGATTATCCAGTGAGACTTTCCTTCACTCTCTACCACTGTAATCTGATTACACTGCCCCTCCCTCTAATCTCACACACACCAGAGATATAATCTTCCTCCCATTCAGTGTAATTCAATTCACACACACATATACTCAGATCAGAAGTTTGATAAAACAACAGGTTCACATTCATTTATTAGTTTAAATAAAAAATCAATCTATAGATAAAACAATTTAACACAACCCACCGGTTTGAATTTCCTGAATCTTCTTTCTTTCATCTTCTTGCTTTTTGACTAATGCAGCATTTGCTTTCAGCAAACGGTTTCATTGTGGCTATTCGACGGCTTATTAACAACGGTAATGCTCACATTGATTTATTTAGAGTCATTCTGCCAGTAATCCCTTGTTGTGGGCGCTGGCGTACACACACTAACACGTGCTTATCTTTCACTATAAACTATTACTTTTGGGATCTACTGCTCCCATCAGAATAAATGGGATGAAGGTTATCCCTTAAAATCTATGTTGTAGCCCTGGTTTGAGTTAACCTCCACCTCTAAGGGATCTAAGAGACTCACAAACACCACCAAACCTTGATTTATTACTTTGAATGAACACAGTGACAAATGCAGGAGATAATTTTTTTTTTTTTTGCCTTCTGTGTGTATTCAGATGCCCATGGCTGGCTGTGACCATCTGCCCTGCTGTGCCACCATGCTGTGCCATCCTCTTCCTTTTTGTGCTGGCCAACTTCACCATGGCAACCTTTATGGATGCCGGTGTTCTCCCAGTGGGTTAGTAATCAAACTGATGTTATGCTTACAGTAGGAGAAACAACTTTCTTTCATTTGTGGAAGTGTAATTTAGCAAATTCACATACTGTTTTCCAGCTAAAGGGGATGAGGACAAGGATGATGACTTCCGTGCTCCACTCTACAAGAACGTGCATGTGAAGGGTGTCCAGGTGCGGATGAAGTGGTGCACTTCGTGTCATTTCTACAGACCTCCACGATGCTCGCACTGCAGTGTTTGTGATCACTGTGTGGAGGTTAGTGCCTGGAGAGATTTTAATGAGCAAAGAGATGGGACATGGCTTTGATAGAGGAAATGAGTGGTAAGAATGAGAAAATACAAGACATGGGTGGACCGATGAGGGAAAAAAGTGAGTCTAGTGCAGCAGTGCATGTTGCAGTCTGTATAGGGAAATTCAGTAACAGGATTTCTGCAGGAATGATGGACAGTGTGATAGAGGGAGAGAGAGATTTCATTAATCACGTTTATACTTTTCTCAGATCCTTTGTGGTCTTAGTAAAAATGCAATTGCAGTTCAGACAGCTTGTATTAATATAGAAAGCACAGTGGGTAGTTACTGAATCTGTTGTGAAATATCTGATTAATATCCATCCATCCATTATCTCTACCGCTTATCCTGAAGAGGCTTGTGGGGGGTCTGGAGCCAATCCCAGAGCGAGAGGCGGGGTCCACCCTAGACAGGTCGCCAGTCTATCACAGGGCTGACACTTAGAGACAGACAATCACACACACCCACACTCACTCCTACCACCAATTTAGAGTCGCTCTGATTAATATGATTTTGCTTTTTCCACGATCTCTTCCCAGGACTTTGACCATCACTGCCCCTGGGTGAACAACTGCATCGGGAGGCGCAACTATCGCTACTTCTTTTTGTTTCTGCTGTCGCTGACATTTCACATGATCAGCGTCTTCACCTTTGGCCTTATATACATCCTGCACTACAGGGATGATCTGTGGAAGCTGCACTGCACTGTCACGTATCCTTAAACACACTCAACATACGTGTATCCATTTATCTGTGATTTTACATGTGTAGATATTTGTCAAATTGAGACTAATATGAAACAGTTGTCCTTATCGATGTGTCCAGTTTGGTAGTGATCAGTATATCAGGTCTGTTTCTTATCCCAGTCCTCGGACTCACTGGATTCCACTTGTACCTGGTGTCCAGAGGGCGCACCACAAATGAACAGGTCATTTTGACGTCCCTGATATAACACTACTGTCAGGTGTAGAGAAATAGTAAAATATTAATGGGTGCACTTTTATCTCTTTGGGATCCTGCAGGTGACTGGGAAGTTTCAAGGTGGAAGAAATCCTTTTACACGAGGTTGTTGTGACAACCTGGAGTATCTGGTTTGCAGTCCCATCTCTCCAAAGTAAGAGTCCTTTTTTCTCCTTTATTGTTAGTACTTCAGGATCTGTATAGCTGACTCTTTGCCGTCTCCTCTCAGGTACACAGCAAGGCCCTATAAGAAAACAGTGATCCATGTTCAACCTCCGTTCCTGAGACCAGTAATCGACAGGCAGATACCAGTGAAAGTCAGTGACAATGGGGTACAGAGTCAGGATATCCAAAATGAAGGACACATATTTAAGTAATTTCTCACGTCATCAGTAGATTGTGATCTAATTTGTGATTTGATTGGATCTTTTGTATTTCTCTGTTTCTCCTGTTAGCGAACCTCGACCGGAGCTGTTGAGCCGTCAGACATCAAACAAGTGAAAACACCACCACCACTGCCGCCAAAACCAGATCATGGTCTGCTGAAGCACAAACTAGCTGCCATGAATGGTACTGTGGAATGACACATGCACACTGTGATAACCAGATACAGCACTGAGCCAATATTTTTACATAACACACATAAAACTGATGATACCTGCAGAATCATTTAAAGGATACCGCTGGTCATAATTTATTTTTTTCCTATTGTTGATCTGATGAAAAGATCAAAATCCATCAAGTATTACATACATACAATAGATTATTGTTGGCCTTATTATTTAAATCTCTGCTTCATGGTGTCAGTGGCATTTTTTGGATTTTTCATTATGCCTGTGGATGCCTATAATTAATTCTGAGAGACCTTGGTTTTCAGAGATGGGACACCATACCAAATCCATCAATCCTGTATCCATTCCCACCGTGCCACAGCTGCGACCGGTCCTGGAGGCCATATCCAGAGGATCATCACCCATACCTCCAGAGCAGGTTCCTTTCAGTCTAATATGAATTTGATAGATTGTAGGAGTGTGGTTTTGATCCATGTCTGACAGGTATTGCTGTCTGGCTTTTACTGTGCTGTTTAGTTGCTGAAGATGTCAGAGCAGCAAGGGAACAACAAAGGTCCTGACCTGTGCTCTGAGTTCAAAGAAAGCCCAGTGGGAGGCAGTGAGCAGGGGGGCCTGTCTGTCCAGCCTTCCCTCCAGACCAACAGCTCACTGCAGCTCAACTCTATGACACTCAACTCTCGCTCTCTCACCCTAAAACAGGGCATCATCTCTTCCTCCATCCGGGTGGCCAGCCACAGCAGCAGCAAATTCTCTTATGATAGCATCATAAACACTGTAGATCCTCAGTTCCTAGCTCAGAGAGGGCCCCCTCAAGCCAGCTACCGCTTTATGACCCTGAGCACAGATGGGACTGTGGTGCAGAGGCCCCCTCCTCACACCTACAATCCTGTGTTTAGGGGTGCCAACAGACAGCCTCCGCAACCTTCTTTGCAGGGTCTCACTTCAAGGGATCCCTCATCCTCCTTTCAAGGTTTCAGTCAGAGAGACCATTCTCCTCCTTTTCCAAGGCTGATGCCAAGAGACCTTGCATCCCAAAGCATAACATCACAAGACCTCACCCCTCCAGTTCTGGCTAGGCGAGATATGACTTGTCAAAGTGTTCGGGACAGCCTTCGTGATCTCGGTCCACAGGGTTTGACGCCTCATATGTCTGCTGCTGCATGCTATGACAATTTTTCAAAAACCATGATGGCATCTGTCCACAAGCGACAGGAGATGGAGGAGAGGGACAGGATGCTACACCTCCAAGCCAGATCCCAGATGCTCTATGGCCCAGATGTGGGGATTTATGACATCCCCAGCAGGCGAAGTCTGCCACCAGACAATATCCAACCTCCGGCCTGCCGTGGACCAACTCCACCAGCCTACGGCTCTAGGGAGTTTCTGATGAGTACAGGCATCCATGGTTATGGCACGAGGACCTCGCCTCTTTCCAGCTCCTCCACATTGTCTCTGACTCGAGGCCCAAAAACCTCCAGCTCCCCTCTGCAGAGCAGCAGCAGCAGCCTGCAAGGCAAGGACAGGCCTTCCTCTCCAACTTACCACCCTTCCGAGAGACAGCCCCAGCTCCTTCTTTCTTCTACATCCACCCTGCCTCGAATACCCTCCTCCTCCACCTCCTATACTCCCCCTATGCCACCTATACCGCTGCAAAGCGATCCTCGCTCACACAGTCCTCTGAGGGGAAGGACTCTGGGAGCCCTGAAATAAAGGAGAAAAACACTCCTGGTTTCTGATGGTGTGAATGAATCATCTATGCAGTGATAGTCTCAGTCTTCACAGCTCCAAATCACATTGTAAATAAGAGGCCATTTGAGACTTTGCTGTGTGGGAGGGTGTATGAGAAACAAATACAACAGTGAAGAATAAACTTAGGGGTATAAGTATGTAATTCGCAATATAGGTTTGACCAAATCTGAAACACAGTGATTCTCAGGATAGTTGTGCTTCCTCTCCCAAATGAGTGAGCACTATAAACTCAGTCAAAGCAGATGAGCTAACTGAATAATTAATGTACTAGTTTGTAGGTGTTTTGATATTGCTTTTATGAAACAATGTAATACAGTGTTATCTATTTTGTCTCCCCGTGCGAAACCCCCCCCCCAATTTTTATTACATTTTCGTAGTACTTTATATGAATAAACTTATTTAGTGATTTTTATTTCTGTTCTTTTTCAGCATAAAGGGCTATCAATGAAATATAAATATACATTTTGAAATGAAACAGTAAATTAGTCTTTACATATTTAAAGCAAAAAAAAAAAAAAGGTGTTTTACTGCTTGTTTATCCATTTTGCCTGAAAGTTATTGTACGTGCACTAGATTTATTTTCAAATCAAAAAATCATTTTGGTTCACAGCTCAACAGATGACATGTTTAATAGAGTGTCAAAATACATTTTAATATGTCCATTCACTTCCTTATTGAGCTGCCACAATTCATAAATGCCTATGTTTGTATAGCAGTGATGATAGTGTTTCTGTTGTATTACCTCTAATGGGGGGTTTAGTTAAATGCAGCTGTGTGGAAGAATGAATTGATAGGGCAGTTTTTGCATTTAATTTGTATATGGCACCCTCTAGTGAACAGTTTCAAAAGGGTGGTGTAACGCCGGTGACGCGGGTGACACCAGTAGATGCTGCTATTGTATGCACAGTCTAGAAAATGTCATTAATGTCAAGGACTAAGCAATGTAAGACAGAAAAAAAGTACCTGTGTTAGTTGGCTTTTCATGTTTCAGATGGGTCAGATGAGAAAACTAGTGAGATATTTTGTATTTTACTTTTTGAGACTGCATCATAAATCTTTTCTGGCTGACCTTCAGTCTGGGACAAGATTATAAGTCAATCAGAGTCTTTGTGGCAGAATTATCTCTAATAACAGGAACTTTTACCACCGTGAGCTGTGATAGACAGTCACGTTTTTGTTAAGGCAATAAATGACAAGACTTTGAGGCTGCAGCTTTTCATGTGAATTATTGTTGCACTGGACCTTATAGCAGGTGGAAGTGTAGATATGACAAAAGGAAAACATAAAAGGTCTCACTGATTTAAACTGGTGACAGGGATTCACAGCACAGCTAAGTAACTGACAGGTCTCTCGCCAGACCGAGATGTAAAAAAGGCTCACTTTTACACAGGCTTAGTTAAAGACCCGACAGCAACTAAAAACATGCAGCATGAACAAAAAGCTCCTCAGTTAGAGTGTCATGTAAAATGTAAACAACATTATTCAGTAGTCATCAGAGCAGTTGCTCTTGCCAAAACTGTCTAACAAGGTCACACATTACATTACACAGTCTTCTCACTGAAGAAATTGTGAAGACAACAGTGAGGACACTGTCAGGGCCTTCAAAGCATTGCTAGATTCCCAAGAGGGATGTGATCAAGCTGCAAATTATGAGTCACTGACTTCCTCTGCTCAGGTAACTGTGAACCAGAACTCAACCATTTTTAAAATTAGTTTTATATTGAATACATTATTCATGTATTATCAATGCAGAAACAGAAAAATATGTAAATGAGAAGAAGTATATTGTGAACTCAGTGTTATTAAAACACGAGGGGACCGGTTAGAGGTTTCAGTTAAGGCAACAACTTTCTGAAAGCTTAAACTTTTCTCTTATCACTCATTTTAAATATACTGTATATCAGATCACACACACCTGAAATGAAGTTGTTACTTCAGCGATTTACATGGTGGGGACCAGCATCTTGTCTCTGTGTGGAAAAGAGGCTGAGTCCCCTTAATGTGAATAATGCTCGACACACACACCCACAGACAAAACATCAGTGTAATTACCCATAAGGCTCAACTTTCACATTGTCAGTTTCTCTAAGGTTGTGGTGTCAGTTAGGAAAATAAAGATGTATTTCCTTTTAGTCAAAAAGCAGAAAGAAGAAGATCATCAGTATCATCATCACCACCACAAACATCACAATTACATTTTAAGAGAAAAAACATGCATTTTCATTTGAAAATATATATTTCTAACATATACCTGTTTTTCTTGTCCATAGATTTTATTATTCTCTTGTAATGTTGAAGTTAGTTGTTGTTTGTCTCAGGAAGGAAATGCTGCTGAAATTTCAGTGTAATCTCATCATCTAAAAAAAATGACTGTTCTATTGCAGTCCAGCACAATCAAACCTTTTACGTCCGGCGAAGCCAATTCAGTGTTCGCATCCAGATTCTGACCTCTGCTTGACTTTTACTTTTGTGTGACTAAGTAAAGGAAAAAAACGAAGAAGAACCTCCCTACCTCTCAGTGAGCCTACTTCTGTAGCTGTGGGCAAAATTGTAATGATGGTAATGACAAGAGTCAAGACTGCTGTGCATAAAGAGACTGCAGGTCAGAACTATTCTGTGAAGACCCTGGTGTCTGAGAGGTCCCTGTATCTATCACACATTGGTCACTGATCAGTTAATTTGCACTGTAAACATTAGACATTGCATCTACTCATTAAAATTATTAGGTTAATTAAGGTTTGGTTTTATTTACACAGACTTAGAACTATTCCTCTCTCGTATTTCCCATGGTAAACCGCAATTTTTAAAAAAGCTAATAATTGTGAAGGTTAACTGAAGGAACTGATGATAATGTCTTAACATGAGCTAATTTCATTTGCCTCAATGTGTAAGTCACCTAAACCTTTGATCGTCCATCTTCAGCTTCAGACTGACCTACATTTGGGCCACTGACTCTGTGTGTAGAAGCAGGTGTATCCCTCTTAGTCTCCTTTTCTCAGCTCATTGATATGCCTGATCATCAGAGGCATCACTGAACTGTCTGATTGGGCTGATTGTCATTTTCAGCTGCAGTGCCACTGATGCATTTCATTTCCTGTCTGTGTTCTCTGTTAGTGTGATTAAGCACTTGAGACAGTGACTCTTGACAAGGAGGAGTTGGATTAATAGCAGCCCTGGCATTTTAATCCTTCGAAGGGGGAGCATATTTTAAAATATTTACATTATTTATCAAATCAAGAGATGTTGATTTCTATATATAGGTGATCCAGACTGGCAGCTGTTCCTATAGCTTGTTGGGGGGTGGAGGGGTGCAGCAGCAAGTCCTTTGAAATTTCAGGTGTTAGGTGTTGCTTTGTCATTTGTAGTCTGAAAGCAAACTTTAAATCTGACAGAATCCTTTCCAGAAATGTACACAGATTTCAGGTGAACGTTCTGCAAACAGAACAATTTGTCTGCACTGAACTTAAGTGTGTAGATCCTCTTTGAATATTTGAAAATAAAAGGTGACCTTTCTCTTCTGAAGCCAATTTGGTGACATTTTCTGGTATTTCCAGTGTTATTATGTGCTCTTTATGGCAGCGCCATCTGAAGCACAAGCAGCATTCGGCACACTGCTGGCACCAATTTTTTATAATTTCTTCATAAATGCTTTGTTGCTGTGTTAAATTGAATTAGCCTCAGCTGCACGTGCCAGCCTGAACAGAGCAGAGGTGGGCAGTGTGGGGGTTTAATGAGGACAAAAATCTGCACCGACTGTGCTTCTGTGCAGCGGAGTCCACAAGAAAAGGATGTAAAATGCCCTGCTGAGCACCAGAGACTGTGTGGGCTCATAGCAGTTAATACGGCAACATACACATAGTAATGTAATATTTTTTCTCTCTGTGGGCGTTTGTCGACATGTACTGTGAATTACACTGTACTGTGCACTGTGTTCATCCCACAGTGTGTAGATAACGGACAGCAATAATTAAATTCGGCTCTGTCACATTTACTATCCAGTTACTGTGGTGATGACAAAGAGTTTCATCATCTGTTCAGTAGCAACATAACAACATTATTTATAATTAAAGCTGAGGTGTGTGCATGCAGAAATGTCTGCCTGTTTGTACACTTTCAGATTCATCAGTATGGTAAAGCAGAATTTATTCATTGTTTCGAGTGTAAATGGTTTCAGGTCAGGTGACAGGAGCAGATAATAGATCAAAAACTAGTGGAAAGGAACAAAATGAAAACTTTTTACGGCATATTAGTAGCCTCTGTAGACAGCAGAGAAAGATGAAGGCCAAAGAAAAAGATGGTTGGAGTTACACTTGGTGGCCTCAACAATATATGCAGGGCACTTGCTACAGTGGATCCCTTTAAGGCGTTTCAGCTGTCTTTTTATTGAATTACAGTGCTGTGAAATGTGGGGAAAATATGTGGAAAGAGAGATGGGGCGAGAGAGAATATTCAAAAATAGTCTCCAGTCTATTATTACAGCCAAACAAATACATCTTAGACCACAAAGCTTTCAACTTGGTGACTTGACCAAAAAAAATCTTGCAGTTTATCTGTGTTTATGTGCAGAATTAAATGAACTAATAACCTTTTTCATGATCACACAGTGCTATAGTTGAACGTTTATACACTGCTATGATTTGACCAGAAAGATAAATCTCTGAATCTCTGGAAGGACTTAACTTTTACTCCTTACTGCCAAGGGAACTTGCTAGTTTAGAATTTAGCCCGTTGGATTTTAAAGTCAACTGTAGCTCATCACGAGCCTCCATTTTCAGGACCCTTAACCAGGCTGAAAGTCATGACCCTTGCAGTCATCACAGCCGATCAAGTCAAATATGTAAATGCTCAACTGAGTGTTGTGAATGTCTCAGTGTCATGTGAGTCTCAGTTCAAGCTGTAGCAAGTTAACAAAAAAAGCACATTTGAACTGTACGCTATTGTATTTCTTGAGTAAAGAACATTTCTTTGTACATTGAGGCACATGGAGACAAACAACAATAACTTACAATTTGCTGGAGAATGTTTGTGCACTTGTTTTTGAACAACACAGCACAAGTAATGGACCAAACAAGATAAAGGGAAAAGGAAAGCAACATTAAGGCTGCAGAAGGTTACATGAGGCTATTTAAAAACTAAATAGAAACATTTAAGGGCCCTACTACTGCAATACAATGTACAGATTCATTGTATCTCTACATGGGTCACACACTTCCGGCACTTTCAGGTTTATTGTTATGGTGTGAGATGTGTCCCTGTCACGGTACCTTCTAATTCCTTAGGGAGTAAAGTAGTATTGATAAATATAAAACAATGTTTAATGATTGTTTTCTTTTCCACTTCCATCCACAGACCCTGAGAGGCTGCTCTGATGAGTATGAAAATCATGTGGTTGTTTTGCAGTTGAACAAATATGTAAGATTCTGGAGCAGCACCATGTAAAAAGGATGCAAGATGCTTTTATTTGCTAAGTACACCTGAAACACGGGGATGCAATTTGAAAAAAGAAAATTCAGCTTGTAAAAATGATGCAGAGGAAATATCTGAAGAACAACTTGTGACCACAGTCAGTGTAGCACACGAGTGAGGTGGCATCAGGTAACACAAGTAGATCTAAATGACTACTATTCTATAATACTAAGCATAATGAACTCAAAGTAATTTCTGCTAATTTGCACCTGTAGCAAATGTCAGTAAATCCAGTGCAATTCATTTTAAGTATTAAAAGGTCTCATCCATCATGAATGACATTTCTAGCACTGACTCCGAGTCACCTGTGTGGGTTTTTTCTTTAACTCCATGTCTTGCTGGTTTTGATGGAACTATCCAAAGCTGTGAGGATAGCCAGTTTAAATAATAACTTGAAATAAATAGGCTTAGTTCATATTAAAGCAAGTTTTTATATATCTCAACAGTGATGAACTGATGAAGTTTGGTCAAACTTTATCTTACATCCAGTCTTCTCAGTGACTGTTGGTCATATTTGGAGGGAGAGAACTCATTGTACAAAAGCCAGAGGTTAGACTGTGTGTGGTCATTTTACATAACTATACACGATAAAAGTATACGGTATAACGCACGTTCATGGTTCCAGGACAAAGACTCCTACTGACTTTAACAATAACTGCCCTGGATTTTGTGTTTTTGATAGAAATGTCTTAATAAACTTTGGATGGATTGTGAAGAAATTTGGTACAGACATATACAGGAAGTTTGTTGTTTTGAAAAGGGTTGTTGCATCTGGAAGTTGGTTAATGATGTTTTAATTTCAAATACAGGTGCCAATGACACTGAAAGAGCTTGTGCTGAGGATAAAAACTAATTTAAAGCATTCTTTTTGAAGGTCTCTCTTTTTTTCTGCACTTGTTCTTATCTTTAGCGGTTTCCTATAGGCCTACTCTGTAGTACAGTATGTACAATAGAGGTTCTTCATCAGAATATCAAACAGTAAAAAAAAAAAAAAACTGCTCTTGTCTGCCAGTGACCCAAAACCATTAAGACATTTAATGCTGATGTTTTCCATTTGACGAACTTGTATTTTTCAAGTGTAGAGTTGGTATAGTGGGAGAGCGAATGGCACGGATCATTTCTGGAACAAATGGATCCATTTTCGCGTGACAGTAAATCTTTTTAATTTGAAAACATGCTGTTTCATGGATGTTGCTTTGATTTCACAATGAAAGGATTAAAGATTGTTTTAATTCAGGGAGATGCCTCAAATTCTAGGTCTTCACTATGAGGGAGCTTGAATGGCATCTCCGTTTTTTCTTTCACTGATTTATGGATGAACTGTATCAATTACCTTTTAATGTCTGAAACAAAGAATTCAAGGTTTGAAATTAAAGTGTCACAACAGTTTCTGATGCCACTTTATGGTAAAATATTAATTAAATTAACAAGGGATGACATAAAATGAAAGATATCACTAATAAGTGATTACACAAAATGCAAATGAGACAAGGCTAATCCAAGGGGTTTGCTGAGACAAACCTTAGGAAATGCAGAGATGTCAGCTCAAAACTTGACTGTTAGTGAACTTCAGACAAACCATTATGGCTGAAATACCGCAGAGGTAAATGAGGAGGACTAAAGGCTACAAAATCAATGATATTGAGGGATCCTCCTAAAACAGTAAGAAAGACAGTGGATAGATTGTTTTCATTTTTTCCTGATGATTGGTGCAAGCATTATTGGTGGCAAATTGGAAGAGGTCCTGGCTTGTGCAAGTATAATGGATTTCATGCTAATCTGGTATTATTTAGTCAAATGGATTTTGTGATTTTTATTTCAGGCCACTTCAGCTGATCTTAGAGCCAGCAGCTCACAGACAACACCTACAACAAGTAATTCAAGATTTTTTTTGGGGTGACATCTGAATAACAAGAGCACCTACCTGACCACTTTGCAGGATTCACTGTTCATGTTTTACAGGATTTGAGTTATTTGGTACAGTTTGCAGAGCAAAGCTTCAGGATGAAGTGCGTGTTCTGTGCCTGGTGCTGCATACAGTGTTTATGCACCTTCCGCATCCCTCGCCTTTCATTATGCTGCACATGGGTGACACAGGAGTGAACTAGTGCGGGCTGCTCTGTGCTCCAGCTGCATCTGCTTGTTGCCCACAGGGAAAGGTCTGTGTGCGCGCGTGCTTGTATGTGTGCATGTGTGTACTGAGGTTGCCAGAAAATGTGGGTACAGCGCAGGGATTGCAGGGCTCCCCACTTACCTAAGCCATTCACCAGGCTCACCATCACCCAGCTGATTCATCACCTTGCTAACAGCACACACATTAACTGCAGCACAGATTAGAGGAGGAGTGCGGTAATTGTTCATTTGCTTCTCAGTGCATGTGTGCAGTGTATGTGAGAGAACGTCTGTGTTGAGCAAATGTGTTCATGGTGCATCTAGAGTGTGTTTGTGAGAGAACGAAACAGAGGCAGAGAGAGTGAGAAAGGGAGGGAGAGAGAGAGAGAGAGAGCTAGAGAGAGGACGTGTGTTAGTGAGAGCTAGGAAGAAGGATGGCTGCTCATGTTTGAACTGCCTCAGATGCTCACAGGGAGAGTCAAGGCAAAAATTCAGTAAAGGCAGAGAAACAGACGTCTCACTGGGGGACGCATCTTGTTCATCATTTGTGGGGAAGCAGAAAAGATTTGGCAATGCCCGCTGAAGTGAAAGAGGTAAGTGTGTGGTGGAATGGCTCTATTTGCTCTACACCCTCCCTCTTTTTTTGTTTTTTTTTGCCAGTCAGTTTGCTTTTCCTCCTGCAGAAAACTGTAGCGCTCCACAGCTTTGCATTCTGTCTCTGTCATGATGAATGAAGGAGGCATCAATCGCCTCACCTCCTTGCCTCTCACTGCTGTTCGGTGCAGTCTCCTTGTGTGCATGGGGACATGATGCTAACATCTTCATTAAGTGTGTATGTGTGTGTGTGTGTGTGTGTGCGCGCGCACGCATGACTGTGCATGTGTGCAAATGCACAGGCAAGCTTATAAGGGTTATAATCTTTGATTGCATTATTCGGAGAGGGTGTCCCTCCAGGAGAAAATGCTGCACACACTCTGGTAAGTGTATTGCCAGGATGTATCAGAGAGGCATTAAATCTGACCATGCAGTATTTAACTATTTGAGGATCAGAGCATAATCAGGAGTGAAAGGAGGCTCCAAATAGAGACTCTAAGAGTGAATAGCCTTCCATTCATTTTTCTGGGCTTTGAATCAGCATTCCTTTTTTTGTTTTTAAATTTTTTTATTTTTATTGTCACTTCCGGGTTGCAAGGGAGAGCAGACGTTTATGGCTCCTGTCTGTTCTACGATTTTTCACA